GAAGTTGTGGATGCCCCATCCCTGGAAGTGTTCAAGGCCAGGTTGGATGGGGCTTTGAGCAACCTGGTCTAGTGGAAGGTGCCCCTGCCCCTGGCAGGGGGCTTGGAACTAGATGATCTTTAAGGTCCCTTCCAACCCAAACCATTCTATGATTCTATGATATTAATTTGCTCTTTCATTGACAAAAGAAGAATCACATAACATTGACCCCATTAGTTGCAATAAAAGATCTGGTTTTTACTTCTTGGTGAAGATTACCATTTAGAAAAAGACACAGCTGATTATTTTAGTATAGTATGCATGCATGCGTATCTTATAAAACCAGGATTTTCATTGACCACAAAAATATTCCATGCCCTTTTGTACTTAAGACATGATGGCAAACTCTGGTTGCAGCTTCTTTCAGCTGGACCCAAGGTCTATTCAAATCAATGGAATCTCCCACTGTTTTCAATAATTTTAAATCAGGTGCCGAAACACTGAGGTTAGGCGATAGCTGCCTTGATGTCTGGGAACTGTATAATAGAGGATGTAACATATGCCAATGTTTCTAATACAAATATTCTTTAGCTAGCACTTCATTAACCTATGCTGTTACACAGAAGCTATGATTGTCTACATCACCAGAATGACTGTCATAGAATTTTAAGAAGTCTGCTACACAATAGGAGTTTGGATTTTTTTTTTTTTAAAAAGGAGGACAGAACATGCTGAAAAGGAGACTAGATTGCTTTCAGGATCTTGCAACACCAGCAGTTCTCAGCAAGGACATTTGGAAACCCAAATAGAGCAAACGCACTGAGATTAATGTGTCCACACCTCAGATGATCTTTGTTCATCCAAGGTCTCCTGGCTTTGAAACATAGGGTAGTGAAAGTAAATGTAGGTGCTTCTTTAAAATCAGTTCTGCAGAAAATGTGTGTCATATGGGCAGGGTGCAAGTGCAATAAAAAAGCCATCACCACAGGAAACTGCATTTGGTTTGTTTAGAATGGCAGCATAACATTTCATATGAAAAGAAGTGCTTGACACTGTTTATAAATAGTGAAATATGTGTAAAAATACTGTCGAAATCCATTTGACATCTCTCTTCCAAAGGACTGTATTTTTGGCTGAGTCCATATTTTCAATCCCTTGCCTTATGCTTGCATATGACTGCTCTGTTATTTAGAAAGTAGTGACCTTCTTTTACTAATCTAAAGAATGGGCAATTTTAAATTTGAATGTACAAAACTACTGCCATTAAAGTATAATTTAATGCAGTGCTCAATGCAGGAGCAGTCCTCCTCCTAGAAAAGCCTTCTTCCAAAGAAATGGAAAAGAAACAGTCAGAGACAACAAGCCTGTATCAAATCAAATGGTTCACTAACATAATTCTGGTACTAGCATGAAGTAGGTTTTCAGATTGCATGACTTAAATAAAAATGAGTAGTAAACAAAAAATAAATATGAAGGTGCTGCTCAAGAAACAGGAGGAGTGCATGGTGAGGAATTTACGTGAGGAGTGACTGCCAAGAGAAGAATAAGCACGAGGAGATAAGAATAGTATTTTCTAAAACAAGGTCATTGCAGAAAAGGTTTCAGATTCCAGTCTGTTTATAGCCTTTGGTGTCAAGCTGTCCAAGAACAGATCCAGAAAGACTGACTTTGTAAAAGTAAATTTTCTCTGTCATCCTTTTTCTCACCTGAAGTGCTATCTGTCAAGGCCTATAAACTTCACTGTAGATAGATTATGTTAATAAGACATGAAATACTGTATATAGCTACAGGGAAAATAGGGTGCTTGTATCAAATACATCTTCCTGTTCACCGATGCAAGATCTGAGGGGCACTTTCTACAGAAAGATGGGTTTGGAATGACATTGATTTAAAATTGTATTCCCATTCATAAATGGACCATGCAGACAATGGACATGTAAGCAATCCAAATGTTGCCATGAGTAACTATTTATAGTCACCTTTTCAATGCTGGATACTTAATCAATATGAAAGCAGCACACTTAACTTTCATCATCTCAATTTTGCACTTGAGGTAACTCAAACAGGAGGTTTTAAAGTCACTTTTCCACAGGCATCCATAACTCATTTTCCATAGCACTGCATGGGTATTGTGAGGGCTTGGTATCTCTCAAGACTTAAGGCGGGGAAAACAATAGTTCAGAAGCGCTCACTAATTCTGAATGGTTAATTTTAGATTTTCAAAGAGTCTAATTTACTGCTGCTTTCTCTGAGATGCAGCTGCTCAACATCAGAAAGAGCAAATGTCCAGCATCTAGGGCACTCAGAGATAGCTAGATGCCTGTCTTGATTTTCAAATTCACAGCGGCACCTAATCCTCAGTGAAAATCACAGGAGATAATTGTAAAATTGCTTTTCAAAGCCAGCTGGAAAGCTATCTCCATTTCTAGGTCTTTTGACAACCTTACTGGCACAAGTATTTTCCCCTGTAATAGATGTTTCTGTGTACCCATGTGTTTGCAAGATTTTATACTCTGTTTGCAATTACAAGGATTTTTGCTGGAAAGAATATTAAGTTTGCCTTGAGTTAGTTCTCTTAAAACTGTCTTCCAACAGGTATTTGAAATGTCAAAGACTTTGAATGACTGGATACATACAGTTATCACAGACAAAGAAGGGAAGCAGTTGTACTTATATGTGAAATCTTCTTGTGTGTTACGTATGAACAAGTTTTACGTGGATACATACCGTAATTTCCTCTCATTGTGGTACGGTTTATAGACAAAAATACAATTTTAGATGAGTAATTACAATTATAACTCCTTTCAATTCACTGCTAAATCTCCTCGTTACAGGCTCTCCTGTTTGTAATGCTTCTGTATTTGGCTGGCCTTTCTCAACCGGTACAGCTGAGCAGGGGCACTAGATAAGAGTTAAGGACTGGTCTCTTTCTAGGCCCTTGTCCACCAGTTAGGGACCGCTGCTTTCACAAAGTCCTACTGTAGGATATTTCTAAGCCTGTATGTACCTGAGTTACTGCCAACTGGCTAGATGGTGATATTCTTTCACAGCTAATAAGCTGCCTGCAGTTTCAGCTCCAGCTGATGCCTCAGGAGCTGAAGCAGGATTTTTAAAGTATGACTTTCTGTGTTTTCACTGCTAGTGCTTTCTGATCCTTTCAGATGCTTTGAGCATACCTAAGCCAAAAGGTGACTAGCTGTCCAGATGTATATAGTGGAAGAGAGAGGTGCCTGTCCTTCCCTGCTTTCAAACAAACAGGTGCTCTGGTGTTCTAACAAGGAGACTTGAACTTTCTCTTGCAATCAAGACGTGGAGGTTCAGGATCTTTCCAAATCATACTCAGGAGAGAGCATTCTGCAGGCGTATCTACCACTTTCTTCATATCTCTTGTTCACACACTCATGGTGATGATTTAGACATGCCTCTAACTCCAGAAGAAATTTCATGTTTAGGAATCCCAAAGGAAGCGCCTGCTTGCTCAAAGACCATCTTAGTCCCATCACAGTTCTTGGTGTTCCTGTCTTGGCTAGTAAGATTTTCTCTCCACACAGCTGACATCTGTGGGGCTGCTCTGGGTTACCCAGCTCTTCCCTATAAATTGCTTGAGGGAATCCTGGAGCTGAGGACTCGATTTAGCTGCAAGGCTCATCGGAGAAAGGCAGTGCCAGGCACTGAAGTGTTCCAATACTGTTTAAAGGTCTAGGCATCAGCCAGCTAGATTTGTTTTTATCACAGCCAGAGGTCGTTTAAATACCTTCATGTGAGTAATGTCCTCTGTCACAAAAGAGCAAAACAATAAGCCTGGAAAGCATTTAAAATTTCAAATCTTTAAGGGAAAGATCTCCTAAACTCTCTCTAAAATACAAAATCTATTGAGAATTCAGAAGATTTTGTTAGTGGCCATGTGAGACGCCCACCTTGAATCTGGAAAGAGAGGGATGCAACAGTATGAATCCACTGAGGGATGCATATCTGCCTACTATCTGTTTTCAGGTAAACTGCTTGCCATGCTGTCTCCACTGCTCAGTTCTGCAGCGTAAC